AAGAACCCCCCCCCGCGGGGGGGGGGGGAGGGTGGCCATGCCACAATCCCTTCTCCTCCTTTCTCCTCTTGGGATCTTGGGCACACACTTACACGCACCTGGAGTGAGTTTAAGCCACTGGGTCTGGGACGCGAACTGCAGTCGAATACATGAGAGTCCAGCAACATAGCCATTACACTAACTGCTGGTCCCAATGCTTTTCAAAAGGTGACATAATTCTCATATTTTATTTGGATCTGATCCAAAAGATGGGAACTTGAGTGTGCAACAACCTTCTCCACTTTCACCTCAGACTTGGAACATACAAGTTGGACCTCTGTCTCAGAATGCCACATTTCCCCAGCTCTGGATTTGAGGCAATGAACTGGAGTTACTAGAGGCCAAGACTGGGAATTAGAGTCTTTGCTCTTTCACTGACCTTCCATAACCTTAGCGAGTCACCTGCCCAGCTGGCCTCAGTCTTCTTGCTCTCTATAAAGGGTGAGGGTTACCTTACTTCATGGCAAGAAACTCAATTTTTAGAACTATAAAGACCTTATGTCTATTATTTTCCTTTAATGGGTACAAACTATTGGAATTAAAGTGGGACAAGGGAAAGCATTTTGAAGAGAGCTATTCAAACAGGAGGTATTATTTCTATAATGATGATTGTTCTCCAAGAGAGCCACAGGACAAAGCACCACTTTTCTTAGCAGGGAAGGAACAGCTGTGTTCTGAAGCCCTTGGAGGTCTGCCTAGCCACCTGAATTTTATTAGTCTTGAACCTTGGCATAGCTCTTCACAAATGGTGATTCCAGAACCCCCATGTTTCTCCAGAATGGGCCACACCTTATATGGCTTGTTGGACTCAATATCTTACTTTAATCATATTTACAACCCTATGAAGTGAAAGGGAAAGGCATGAATACTATTTTGCACATGAAAGGACTAGTTTAGAGACCTAAAATGGCTCTCCCTGAGTCACACAGTGAGGCAATGGCAGAGTTTGGACTAGGAACTGGGATTTCATGTTGCTTGTCTAGAACTCAAGCTGCTGTAGCCACTGCAGAACATTACCCTCACCCCTGCCCCATTGGTTCTCAGTCATTTGTGGATGGGCATGCACTTCCTCAGCCCATGACTCCCCATCATAATGGACCTCGCTCAACAACGACTTTCTGAAAGTTCAGTGGAAACGGGGTCAGCAGTCTGATCGCCAGGGAATAGAATTGGAAACCTGCATATTTGTTTCCTATTGCTGCATAACACATGACCACAAATGTCGTGGCTTACAATGACACTCATTTGTTATCTCACGCTTCTGAGGTCAGAAGTTTAGGTCAGGGTGGCTAGATTCGCTGTTCAGAGTCCCATCAGGCTGAAACCGAGGTGTTAGCTAGGGCTGTGGTTTTTATCGGGGCTGAGGCTTTTTTTTCCCCCAAGATCTTGGTTTTCTGAAGAACTCTTTCTCTTGTGGTTATAGGATGAGGGTAACTGTTTCCTTGGTGGCTGTCAGCCAGGGCTGCTCTCAGCATCTAGAGAA